CCCTTGCGCCGCGGCCCAGGCAACCTCGCGCGGGAGGCGTCGTTTGGCGGAGCGCGAGAGACGGCTGGCCGCTTTGAGCATGGCGAGCTTGCCTAGTTCTCCGTGGCGTTGGGCGTTTGGCGATTCCTCTCCTCGTGGTGTCAGGCAGAGCCCGAGTTGGCACGGGGAGGCGAGGGTGACCAGGTTGGTTGTTTATCAAAGACTGGAAAAATAATGACCCAGGCCCGCTATTGAGGTGTTGGAGCCACCTCGCCACTCTGACCCCGAGGAGGGCCGGGTCCCCTCGCTTCCCTGCGCAGCCCGACGTTCCTCAGAAGGAGCTGCAGCTGTGCGGGAAAGGAGCGGTTACCTGTGGGGTGGCGCGGCTTGGGGATAGCGTTTTGGCCACCCTGGGAGAGGGGCGCACGAGGACTCCTTGCTGCTGGAAAGGAGGGGAATGAGACGATGCCACCTAGCCTGAAAAGAGGCAGACATTCTTTGGGGCGACAGCCACTTACCAGCCTGCCTTGGCCTGCAACCTTCGTTCATTCAACAATAGTGTTAAACGCACTCTGGGCCCCGCTTTGTTCTGAGCGCTAATGAAGAGTGGGGAACAAGCCCCTGCTCCTTGTATATGGAAGTAACCTTTGCTACAGGGCAGAATGAAGATTGGCTTGTGCATTCTCAAGATACCCTCATCTTGCATGCCGATTGCTTTTCGTTTTAATAGCATTTTAACTTCTGCAGTATGTACATTGTTTTTAACACAAAACAGACATAGGTCATAGCCTGTTGACCTCTGTTCCCATTTGCTTCCATGGAATAATTTTTAGTTTTGTTGCTATCGTGATTAAAAATAGTGACACTCACATTTTTTTGTGGTGGGTGCTTGTTGGAAATTAAGTTCCTTTTTTATTAATTTAACAATTTCAAACAAATGTTAACGAATAAAAATAATTTACATATAGATTGCTATATGCCACTGTTTCTAGTCACATCCATTTAGCCACACCATGACTAAATTTAGTTCACTGAAGCCTTGTAAAATGGAAAGATCAGTTTTAGGTAAAATAAGCCCGTAAAAAACAAAACAAAACAAAACAAAACAAAACCTTGGAACAATTGCAAGTTGATCAAAATCGGTGAAAGATAATTGGGTATGGTAAAGTGAAAAGTCCTCATTATGAACTTAGATTTAATGAAGATAGATCTCCCTTTTGAGTTTAAAGTGATGCTTGTGTTAAGGTAGGGTATCCCTAAGGAAAGAGTAAATTATCTGTCAAGAACTATGACAAGATGGTACTTTCTTGTGAAATTCTTGTGTTTAGAAACTTAGGTCTCTGTAACTAGAAATTGATATCGCCTGCCTAACTACAGTGGGCATTTTTCAGAATAGTCCAACATTTACAGATCTCAAGAACTATGTAAACTGAAATAATTTATTGATGTATAATTGAGGTATATACATATAATTAAAACTATAACTCTTATAAACGTTAATTATTCATCTGTGTTCAGGACAGTATACTGGGTGTGGAAATTTCAAGACTATCTGGAAAGACAGATATTTAGAAAGCAAAAGTATGAGAGTAAAGAAAGAGGAAGCAGGGGAGCTCGTGAAGTTGCACACAGAAATTATAACCCAGTCTGGATTGTCAGGGAAATCTCTAATATTTTATCTTTGGGGAATGATAAGTTATTGAAAAACTTAATGGGAAATTAGCATGATTATGTTTATAGAGTAGAATGTTTATGTAATGATGAAAGATAGTGTTTTGAGAGCTATTATGATTTTCTGGGTATGAAACCAATTAAACCTAAAGCACCTTAATGCTGAGGATTTGAATAATTACCTAAGAAATATAAAAGATTTACACAATATATGACTTTAGACAAGGAATTTAAAGAATTTAGGAATTTAAGCAAGTTGTTAGGCTTCAAATTAAGTCATTTGTCAAAAGATAAACTATATGTTTGCTTATGGCTAGCTATCTCAAGGCTAGGCCTGGTGGACCAAGTGATAGAATTTTTCCCATGGTAAAGACAAAATATGCCATCCCACTAGGAAAACTTAGGCCAGAGATTTATATAAGGAAGATAGTGGCTATAAGTTAGATAAAATAGAGGAAAACTATCGTTTTTAGCTCAGAAAATTGTAGAAAGAAGAAAAAAGAGCTGTAGGAAAGCAACCTAAATCATTTTAATCACTTTCTCTATGAGTATGTGATATCAGAGATGTGGCTTCAGAAATACCCAGATTAGTATGGGAAAACTCATACAATGAAATTCTGCCCCAATTCTTACATATTAGAGAGGCTACCACATTCAAGGAACCTTGAACTGGGCAACATAATTAGGCAGAAAGAGGTTAGGAGTTTACTTTCCTAGTTGTAGAAAGTTCCTTTATACCCAGTAGGTAACTGACTTGACAGCTGACCTAGCATGAACCCTGATGTTAATAATAATAAAAAAATAAGGCAATGTGATGTTTCAGCAAAGACTATTGGATAGAACTACCATGACAAAAATATCTAAAGTGCCAGATAAATGAGACCTATCAGTCAGAGGGAGCTACCAGAACAGACCATCAGTTTCTCCAGCTTCCAAATTCAAGAGAAAGATCAGAATAATCCCTGAAGACACCAGAATAAGCAGAAAATACCATTCATATCCAACAACCCTTTGGCCAAATCCCTCAAGTGAAGCTCCCCTCCCCTGAAATTTCTAGATATTATCTAAAATAGGATATAGTGGGAAAAGTGGAACAATTAAGACTGAAGATGTTTAACATAATAAATTTGAATTTTATCTGGAAAAAAAACTGATTAAAATACTGACTAGATTACATTTGACCAAAAACATATTTTTCCTTCCATCTTTCTTAAGAGGTTTCATGAAGATGGCCACATCAGTTTGAGATAAAAAGAAAATTCTGCCTCTTCTTTTCATACCTAAGTTGCATTGTGAATAGCTGCGATGTCAGCATGCTTAAAGCACTTAATACTTGAACTGACCACCATTACAGTTAAAATTCTACCAATCAAGCACCAATTTAAATGGTCATTTGCTATAAAAATTATTTCCTCCGCCTAATGTTTTTATTTCCGAGGGCTTTATTTGTAATTCTATAGCCATACATAGTCACATGATTTATAAGCTAGTGTATTTGACTCAGACTCAAATTTGAGAAAACCTTAACATATATCCTAATTCAATACCATAGCTGATGTTGAAAACTTTGATTATTTATCTTCTAATAGTAGTAAAATAAAATCCTCATGAACTAATTCTTCCTCATTCTGAGCCCAAGCGTACCTCTCACAAGAGCAACACAAGGGCCTTAATTTTCTCTTATGTTGATAATATGCCATAATAATTCTTCCTCTTATTGCTCACATACATTCAAATTTGTGGCTAAATATTTTTGGTTCTTTCAAATATTTCTGCTACTACGTTGATTTGCATCCCTCTGTCTCTCTAGCCACACCTTTGGATTGCTGCAATTTTACTAAGAGTCCATAGGTTCACAATTCAGGTTTGGGAATATAGGAACATACAAGGAAATACAGTGTTAGCTCCCCACTCTATATCAATGAGAACGTGTTAGTGGGCAACTTGTGAATACCTGGATCGACTCTCTGCAGGCATTCTTCCCTGGACTGCAGGTTCTGATGGGAGATGTGGAAGATGCTGTCTACCTCCATGCCTTTTAGTATGCCATATGGAAATGATATGGGGCCCTTCCTGAGAGGTGTAACTGGCACCTGCAGGCTCCTGACGTTCTCTTCTACCTGCTAATTTATTTGTCTTGATTTGTGAAATACCCAGACTTGTGAAAATCAAATTACATACTGAGAAAACTATTGTACGAACTGTAAAGCACTTTACAAAGTGAGTATATTGTTGTGTGACACTTAGAACCTGTTAAGAAAGAATATCTGGTCAATTTCACAGTTCAAATTTCTGGAAATATTGTATTTAAAACACAGAGTATCTATATTTAGAATAACTGATTTCCTGTGTTGAGATTTTTAAAGCAGGAGGTTTCAACATATGGAAATTAATGAATGAGATGTACCACATTAACATAATGAAGGGCCAAAAACATGATCATCTCCATATAGATGCATAAAAAACATTCAACAGTACTCAATCTTTTTGTGATAAATGCAAAGTAGTTATACAAAAATTATACTTCAGTACAATAAAAACCATGTATGATAAGCCCATAGCTAATATAATACTCAACAGTGAAAAGTTGAAATATTTTTCTCTAAATCAGGAATAGGACAAGAATTCTCATTGACACCACTTCTTTTCAACATATTACTAGAATTCTTAGCCAGAACAATTCGTTTTAAAAAAGGACAAGCCATTCCAATTGGAGAGGAAGAAGTTAAATTATATGTTTATAGCTAATACAACCTTTTTTTTTTTTTTTTTTTTTTTTTTGTGTACCAGAGATTGAACTCTTGTCCTCGCACTTGCCAGGCAGGTAGCAGAACCACTGAGGTAAATCCCCAGCCCTAATACAACCTTAAATACAGAAAATCCTAAAGGTTTCACACAAACTGTTAAAACTCATAAATTCATTAAAGTTGCAGAATACAAAGTCAACATGGAAAAATTATTATGTTTCCACACACTAATAACTATCCAAAAGAAAAGTCAGGAAAAAATTTTATTTTCAATATAATCAAAAAGAAAAAATTAGAAATTTAAACAATGAAGCGCAGGGGATTTAGCTCAGTGGTTTTGCTGCCTGCCTTGCAAGCACAAAGACCGGAGTTCAATCCCCAGTACCAAAAATAAATAAATAAATAAATACGATGATGTAAAAGATCTCTACAGTTAAAACTATAAAATATTGATGAAATATAATGTAAAAATACAAATACATGGAACCTATCTTGTATTTATAGATTAAAAAATATTATTAAAAATGTCCACAGTGATTAATATAATCTACAGATTCAATGTATTATCTATCAAAATTCCAACAGTTTTTCACAGAAATAGAAAAAAAAACAACTAAAATTTGTCTGAAGCTATAAATGAGCTAAATCAATCTTGAGCGAGAAAAATAGAACCAAAGTCGTCAACCTCCTGGTTTAAACTATACTTAAAAACTATAGTAATAAAAACACTTTGGCACTAACATAAAAATAGGAACATAGACCAATAGAACAAAATAGTCATTGTGTGGATTTACCCACTCATCTAACTTTCTGAAAAAGTGCCAAGAATACCTAATAGGTTGAAACTATGCTCTTTAATAAATGGTCTCAGAAAAATTAGATATCCACACACAAAGAAAATGAAATTGGACCTTCTCACACCATTCACAAATATCAATACAAATGAATTAAAGATTTAAACATAACACTTGAAAGCATAAACTAGAAGAAAATATGGGAATTGGGGCAAGCTCATTGATATGGATCTTAGCAATGATTTTTTCAGATCTGAGAAAAGCACAGATAACAACAAAAAATAGACAAGTGAGATATTTAACCAGTTTTGGTACAGTAAAGGAAATAACAAAATGAAAAAGCACCTTACAAAATTGGAGGAAATATTTGTAGAACATACATCCAAAAGGAGTTAATATACAAAATGTATAATAAATCCGTACAACTCAGAAACAAAAAATAAATAAATAAAAATGGACAAAAGACCTGAACAGCACAACAATAAGGCCAGGGATTTAGCTCAGTGATGTTGCACCTGCCTCACAAGTGCAAGGTCCTGAGATCGATCTATGGTACCAAAAAAAAAAAAAAAAAAAAAAAAAAATGTTCACTATTGCTAATCACCAGAGATATTGAAATCATACTGCAGTGAGGCATCATCTCACATCTATTGTTGGAATGGCTATTATCAAAAAAGTCAAAAGATAACAAGTGTGGCAAGAATATGTAGAACTGGAAAACCTTGTAACTTCTTGATAGGATTGTAAATTGGTACAGCCATTAGAAAAAAAAAAAAAAAAAAATGTTCACTATTGCTAATCACCAGAGATATTGAAATCATACTGCAGTGAGGCATCATCTCACATCTATTGTTGGAATGGCTATTATCAAAAAAGTCAAAAGATAACAAGTGTGGCAAGAATATGTAGAACTGGAAAACCTTGTAACTTCTTGATAGGATTGTAAATTGGTACAGCCATTAGAAAAAATGGCATGAACTTTCCTCAGAAAATTAAAATAGAACTGCCATGTGGAAATCATACTGCAGTGAGGCATCATCTCACATCTATTGTTGGAATGGCTATTATCAAAAAAGTCAAAAGATAACAAGTGTGGCAAGAATATGTAGAACTGGAAAACCTTGTAACTTCTTGATAGGATTGTAAATTGGTACAGCCATTAGAAAAAATGGCATGAACTTTCCTCAGAAAATTAAAATAGAACTGCCATGTGATCCAGTAATCCCTCTGTTGAGTATATACCCAAAGGAAATTAAATCAGCACCTCATAGAGGTATATCCACCCCCATGTTCATTATGTTATTCACAATACTTAAAATATGGAAACAGCCTTAATGTTGATGAATGAATTGGTTAGGAGAATGTGAACAGAATAAAACATCAGCTTTTAAAAAGGAGATTCTGTCATTGGTTACAAAACCTGAGGACAATATGTTAAATAAGATAAATATTATACAATCTTATATGCAGAATCTAAAAAAACTTACAGAGCTGAAGGAAAGGGAATTGGCTGAAGAGATTAAACCTCAGCTGTGGGACGAATAAATGTTGCAGACCTAACATAGAGCCTGGTAGATATAACTAATAGCAATGTATTGTATACTTAGATTTGCTAAGAAAATAGATCACAAATATTCCTAATACACATATGCACAAAAGATAACTATGTGAGATGTTGGATATATTAATTAGCTTGACTGAGATAGATTTAGATAGATAAAGCATCCTAATATATGGAATCCTATATATATGGAATTTTTATTTGCCATCACAGTTCAATAGATTTAGGATTTTTTAAAATTTAAAAATAAGTGATTTTACCCTCTTTTTCCTGAGGGAAGAAAATGAAAGCTGAATTTTCTCATTTGTTCTTATGTAAAACTCAGTAGGTCTTGGTGAAACTTACTACTTCTGTTTCCCTCATCTGTGTTACCTACCCAGTCAGTGCTTGTGAAGTCCAGTATAGGAGTTATCTTCCTGCCTTCCTCACCTCTATCTTCTATAGTCTCCCCTTTCCCTTTCTTTTCTGTCTTCACATATCACCAAATCTCCTTGATTTTAAAAATTATGTTACTTGAACAAGTTGCTAATGTCTTCATACTTATCATAATATATGTAATGAAACCATTATAGATTATGGATGTGCTGAAAGTGTTATTTATTGCCTCTGTTTACTTTTAATCCTTGTCCAATTTATCTCTAATCTATAGTACTCTGATTGTTATTCTGCAAAAGTCATTTGGATTTGGTGAAATCTTGCCAAATATAAAGTCGTTTTATCATCTGTAGTCTCTTTGATATTTCAACAGTTAATTTCTTCTGAACTTCTGTAAGGCTGAACTGCAGTAGATCTTTTCTTACTCCTATGCTTAATGCTTAACAACTCTGGCTTCTATGCTGCCCTCTTGAGTGTAGGTACTCTTTAAAGTTTAACCTTTGACCTTATGTTCTTTCCTGTTTAAAGTTGTTTCCTCTGGGAATTCATGCATTCTCTTGAATTCTAATCTCTTCTTAATGTTTAACTTCTTGCTTTCATTTTCAAATTCCTATCGCAAGTCCTAAAATCTAAACAAAAGTCATTGGTCTATTTTCAACTAATGAGTATCCTTATTTACATTCTTGTAGTCATTTTTAATTAATCAATTCCTCCTAAAACTGATTCACTTTTCTAATTTTCCTCATTAAAATCACTGACCACAGTGACCTTTTAGCTACCTGATGTCACCAAATTTTCTGTTTTTCTTTCTAGAATAAACTGTCATCCATACCATTTCAATTTTGCAGTATTTCTTGTGGCTCTTCCTGAATTATTAGTACTACTGCATATTAAATTCTCGTTGTTTTGAGCAGATTATTGAAATTGCTGTTGTATGTGGTCTTCCTATGTCCATTCTTTAGTCTGTGTTACTATTAAAAACAGCACACTAAAATGACTTAGAACTTGCTCAATAAATTACAGTGGCTATCTATTTTTGTTCTGTAGTAATGTCAGCTTCTGAGGCTTCTTAGGCAGGTATTTGATATTGCAGAGTAATATTATGAGAAGAGTAATCTGCCCATGCTTCATAAGATGCGTGGAATGGAGAGGGACTAGAGTTTAGGAGATAATTATCTTCCATGCAAGGATTAAGGTATTATAGAACACAGCAGTATGATTTAGGATGAAAAGGAAACAATAGATCTGAAAGAGTCATGTTGTCAAATTGAGCTTCTGAGATTTTACAAAAAACTACAAAAATGAGAGGTCTTTCAAAATTTTGATATAAAAGATTTACTCATAGTAGTAATTTGATACACTATAGACGTTATTACTGGAGCACAGCATAAGACACATTTTTAAAAGTGTGTATATTTTCTTAATTTAAAAAATGTATTACTTATTTTCAAATACTACATAAGCAAGTTACCCTAACAACTAAAGCAAAATCTTTAGCAGTGTTTAACTTTCTTTTTACTTTTTGCAAGGTCTAACAGCTCAGTTTGCCTTAAGTCTCAGAGAAGAATTTCGACTTCTCAGCAATGCTCAAAGTTTTAGGACTCTGGCACTCTTAGAGATGGACGAAAGTATTTTGCTTAAAGAAACACACTTGAATCTTTTTAGGGCTAAGGGCAGAATATTGTAGTTTATATCTGGGTGTCCCCCCAAAGCCTCATGCACTCATAGGTAAGGGTTTGGGGAAGTGACTGAATCACGATTGAGTTTATAACTTAATGTGATATGGGGAGGGAAGCCTGGTCAGAGGAGGTGGGTCATTACATTCATGATCTGGAAGGGTCTTGCTCTCTCTCCTGTCTCCGTTGATGTCCCTCTGCTTCCTGACTGCCATTCCACAAGCTCGCTCTTCTCTTCTAGGCCTGTCTACCATGCTACCCTGCCTTGGAGCCAGCAGACTGTGGACTGGACCCTCTACAAACTGTGAGCCAAAATAAACTTTTTCTTCTTTAAATTGTGGTTGTGGGGTAATTGTGTCTCAGCAAAGAGAAAATAACTAAGACATCAGGGAATCTTAGAGATAAAATATACATGATTAGCAGAGTTATACATGTTATATTTCCCTCACCTTAAGATGGTCCTAACTAGTGATGAGACAAGCCCCTCCTGGTGATGTCACAAGCTCCCCCAATCCCTAGCCATTACATCACTCAATCCTACCCCAGTACTATAAAAAGCGCTCCCTGTCTCAGCAATATTGTTCTTTCTCCCTTGCTCAGAGACAGCCAACAGATCCTCCCCATAATAAGACTTGTTATGGTCCTGGTCTGGTCTTGGTTTTCAGCTTTTTTTTACCTAACCATAAATATATAGTCCAACTTTGCCACAATTTCCAAGTTGGCCTTGTCTTCATCATTGATAAAATTTCTAGCTTTAAAATTTTTATTAGTCTCCAAATTAATTCCTTTAGTTCTTTACCTACAATCAGGACTCTTTAGTGTAGTCCCTTTGGACACAACTCAAAGCTGCTCCCATGAACCCTGAGTAAGTTTCTTTTAAATATAGTGAAACATCCTGATGAAACTTTCTCAATAATTTTTATTTTAGCACAATTGAATATGTGATTTTTATAATGATGAACACAGCAATCTCTCAGTGCTCTTTCTAAGCTAAAACAAGTGCTTACTCATTTTGCTGAACATTCTACAACACCGTCTCAAACTATATTATAACATGGGTGACTTATAGCTCACTTCAGCTCTATACTCTTTAGTATGACAAGAAAGACTAACAGTTCAATCTTGCCTTCAGCCTTTCTAATATTTCTGTAAATAAAACCACCATACTGCACTCATTTGGAGTTAATTTTCTAGACTCCATCTAAACCAGGCCTTCTCCAAGATCAATAGTAAGAAAACCTTCAGAGTGAGTAGAGGCAGTCAATAGCATCCACTTAATGTTTAAATTCTGTGTATGTATGTAGAACATGCATCTATACATAAGACATTGGTGCACATTACTGAGTAGTTGTTAGGTCTTCTGTGGTGATACAAAAACATTTTTTAGTACTATCCCCTGTCTTAGAATTCAGATAAAAGGAGTTATTTCTGGTTAACCTTTTTTAGTGTGGGGAGATAGCCTCATGAATATTAACTCAGTAGCTAATCATAGGAGGAGTTTCAATTAGATAATGGCCATGGAGACAGACACTTTCATCTTCTGCTATTCTTGACTAGGAGCTCCATTCTAGGGATACATAAACGAGACTATTTTTCCAATCTGTGTTAATATTAATTGTATAACATTCATAACGGTGTCAAATTCTCTCAAGAACGGAAGCTTTCTTTACCACTGTCTTTCTTATGCATGAAACTTACTCCTGGTAGCTAAGCCAAGTTGTATGTGAATATGTCTAATAACTGCAAAAATATTCTACTTAAGGTAGCCTGTTCTGTCTAAAGAGTGTTCTGTTCATCTCATTACATGGAGTCAACATTCCCCTATGAATGTTTCCTTGGTTATGTTGGAGATACAGTATGACAAATATAGATAGATTAGATAGATAGACAGATGGTAATTGTATATTTATTACAAATATTATACATGTATGAGTCAAAACATGCCTTTTCTGATTCTTTTCTCCAGACCAAATCTTTCAAAATACTACATACATGTCTCTAAGTTATTATGTCATTGTCCTCAGAATATGCTCTAAAATTTCTTATCTTTCTCTTAAATTATAATGTCCAGGACTAAACAGATTATAACAAGGGTGGTCTGATCAGTATAGAGCAGTATTATAGCTATCTCAAGTACTTGATTATAAATAAGTACTTTAAAATAAATTACCAATTTATTTACATTCAAAAATTTTATATGTTAATATATGGCTATATTCATGAAGCCCTTCAAAATAAATTTTATTTATTTTTCCACACAACGTTCTTCTTGAATTTTTGTATTCCTAAGCTGAACAAATGCCTGCATGTCTCATCTTTATAAGTCATGGATGATATTAAACATAATAATGCATAATATGTAACAGTGAAATAACTGGTACAGTGTAAGGCTGCTTGATATAGTCTTTTGGTTACTCTATAACCTCTAAGACTTTTAAGTCAGGATATGTCAAGAAGCTTGATAATAAGAATTTCGATTATGATAAGTGTCATATAATCATGAAATATTGGTGGATTTTCACATTTTGTGGGAAAAATCATGAGCTAATCTTCCATGATGTGGAAGGTATGACAGTCCATGAAATGCAACTAAGAAGTCTTAGTTCATATACTCACAGAGCAAACCTGTCAGACTTGCACGGATTTAGTTGATGATGCCATAATGACAATGGATTATTTCTTTGTTCTCTCTTGTGTTACTTCTCTTTCTAGAGCTATTTCTATATTATGTAGAAAATACACAGCTAAGATAGCTATTTAAGATATCACAAAACTGAGAAATAAAGGGTTAATAATTATTTGGTTTAAAACCAAAGAAAAACTAAACCTTATAAATACTTCAGGGACATTAAGGAACAGGTCCCACATCCCAAAATACCAAACTGATACATATGCAAAGTTCAATTTTAATCCATCACCTTGCAAAATTGAGGTTTAGAGATGGACCAAATATATTTATATTTAGTTTGCTCTTGTTGTGTGCTAACTTACTACATTCTGTTGTCCTGGTTTTCATTCTATATTATTTCACTGTCTTACACTTATGGATCAATAACTTTCTAGATCATTTTCTTTTTTACTTGTTTCAAAGTAGTCCTATGCCCTTGTGGGAGGATGGGTGGAGCAGGAAAAGAGAACAAATAAACACATACGAAATACTCAGTAGGGTCGTTAGAGGACTTCAGTAGTCAGCTTATCTCCACTGTTAAGGGTGTCATTCTGTGACCCCAAACAAGTGTTACTCTAGAATATAGATCATCAATATGTATTCAGTCAGACCAATTTGCCTGGTGTGGTGTCTCATAAAAAAAAATCAATCATCTATTTAACTTTATACTTGTAAAATAGGATTTTTGGTTTGACCTAGTTACTAGAACTTTGTAAAACACAGATCATAATGACTTTGTCCCATGTCTTCATAAGAGGCTGAGTTCGCAGTGGTAGATGGTACATGTGGTACATGCTGTTCTCACCTTCTTTGGAAGAGCAGAAAAATCCATATGGGCCGAAACCTACTATTGATTTTTTTCCTTTTCACTGCATATGTTCAGCTTCTGTCTTTTTTTTTTTTTTTACCCCTAACACATCAATGCAAACTCCATTGGTTTAATTAATGTTCTTGGACATAGATTTGTAGTGCTTCCTGTTGTAAGACACTAAGTGTTAGGATATAAAGAAGCATAAGACTATTCTGAGAATGAATTTACCCATCTGAAGAGAGTAGTCTTGGAGACTTCAGATTCACACAATCTGCTTTTCATGGTATGTATGGTACACAGTACGAACACGTTTTTGTCAGAAATAAAGACATTGACAATTTTGTATCTAGAGTAAAACTATATTTAAAATGACAGAGTACATTAATTCTAGTGGACTCTTCTCTTTGGTTTGCCAGATTATTGATTAGTTTTACAATGGTACCAGTTGACCTACACTTAGCACTCTGTAGTAAGCATATGCTTTGAAGTATGGGGTACCCTTAGAGAAGGGTATAAGCAGGAAGAGAAAAAACAGGAAAACATTAAAATTTTATCAATATATTTATAAATGTTGACCTTTTACCTTTTTAAACAAAAAGTACAACTTAGAATAAGGCAAAAATGTAGCAGAGGCTGAAATATGAGCTGTGCGAGCACAAAAAAGGGACAAATTAATTTCAACTAGGAGAAATCCATGTGATTAAAACACTTGTCCTGAGCACTATGCAATAAACTAAAGTAACATCAGGTTGCTTTTCCAGGCTCTACATTGTACCTAAAGTGCTGCTGAGCCAGCCATTTGGATCTGTAGAGGGATGCCCAGAAGTATTCATCTTACTCCTAAAAACACTTTTTTTCTATTTCTGTAGCTACGTCAGAAAAAGACTGGGAGGATGAATGTACTATACGCCATGGCCATTTAATAATGATGAACGTGAGTCTGGGTTGATAGCTTGCATTTTGTGCATTGACAGAGCATGTGCATTCAAAACATCTTCATATCATTTAAAGAATAAGATTTTTTTATTCTCTTATTTTACCTAAATATAACAAATTCTCAGGTCATTCTGGCACTGCTATTGTTTGAATATCTGAATTTCTGAATATTGACTCATCATAGTTTCATTTTGAATGATTAGCTACCATAGCATAAAATTCAATTTTTAAATAATGATAATTAGGAATGTCGCTCAGCGGTAGAGCATGTGCCTAGCATGAATGACATGCAATCTCAAGCACTACAAAATTTAAAGTTATGAAATATAATTTCCTTATAACGTATTCTTTCCCGGTGTGGTAGCACATGCGTATAATCTCAGCATTTGAGAGGCTGACACAGGAGGATCGCCATGAGTTCAAGGCCAGCTTGGGCCACATAGTAAGATTTTGTTTTTGTTTTTTTGCTACCAGGGATTGAACTTGGACCCTTGCACTTGCAAGGAAGGTGGCAGAACCACTGAGCCAAATCCCTCACCCCCATAGTGAGTTTAAGACTGGCCTGAACTATACAGAGAAACTCTGTTTCAACAAAACAAAATCTATGTATATATTCTATGACTGTGACTATTATATTAAAAGTTCCTGTGGCTATGTGGTCTCCTATAGATAAGAGAATTATATTTCTTTTAATTAAAAACATAGCAGTTACCATGTCATAACCTCAATAGTTCTCTTTGCTACCCACATCTTCATATTAAGTGTGGAAAAAAATCTAGGACTGTTTTATAAATGCTGCCTAATATTACCACATTACAATTTCCCAAACAGATTTGTAAGTAACATAATTGTCTTCTATCCTTTTTTCTCTACTTATAAACACTGAAAATAAAACCACTTTATACAACTTTTCACTTGTCAATTTTTACTTTAATGGGGTTTTCTTTGAGCTATGCATGTATTTATCTGTAATTGTGAGACTTCCAATTATCTGACATGTATAATTAAGCTCCATGTTTACAAAGTATAAAAATTTTTGTATCTCAGCCCAGTATATTATAAAATTATAAACTCATTTTTATAGTAACCAGTAGATTACTGCTGTTTTTCTATTTGACTTCTCACTTCTGCAAGGTATATGCCATCCAGATGTAACACACTTTCTCTTTGACTCTATTGTAAAGTTACAGCTATTAAAAGATGAAAACACAAGCAAATATTTCTTATACCAACTATTTTTATATAGTTTAAAATATCTGAATGAAGATCATTATTTAATACAATTTGATTGATTATAACTTCAGAGATATAGGATTCTAAGTAACATGGATATGTGTTTTCATAAGATTTGTTTTCACTGATGGTTCTCTATGCAGTATATTAATATATATGACCTTCAAAGCCAACGGGATAAGTCCCTTAGCCTGAGCCTGGACTGTTAATACTGTCCTTAGACTGTACTTACATACTCCTTAACTATACCAACATGATATACATGAGAAATATAGTAATATTTTAAACAATGACAAGATGATTAAACTTTCTGAGTTAATTTTATTTTTCAAAATGACTAATAATAGAAGACAATCATTTATCTATTGAAAATTAATAAGTATTCTAAGTACTTCATATGTATGAGCTCATTTAATAGTTATAACAATGAGGTAGATACTATTTTTACCACATTCTAGAGATGAGAAGAATGAGCACAATTTAAATATTTTCTCAAAATCACAGAGATTAGATACAAATTGAAACAGTTCAGCTTCAGGAGTAGTCTTTATACTCTACAAAACAAAGAAAATTAGATAAGGAGCTAGATAAAATGGAGGCAGTATACGTGTATATACATACATCTAGTAGTTTCTTTTAGAAGAAAAATACTAGATATAATTTCACAATTTAGTGCCATAATAACAAATTTCATGAAGAAGAATCCCTTTATACCTTCTTTACTCTCTCACACACACACAAAATCAACACATAGTCCTTTTCACCTCTTTCCAATATTATATAATCTCTTGAGCTATGCCATGTTGGTAACTGTTTTATTATGCTGACAGCATTGTGCATCTAAATATTGGAAGAATGGCTTAAAGTTAGAGAGATTTGCACTTCCTGCATCCCCAGATTCATCAGTCTCCAGATTTTACAAAACATATTTACTCCTCTTTGAAACATAATGAATTTCTGCTTTCTTTTTATGATATAAGTAGATACCTATGCTCAACTTCTTTTGAGTGTAAAGGAGCTCCCATGTGATCTTTGATTCTAGGTCAACCTAATTTATAGCTTCAACTGTCTACACACAAATCTTTATAGATACTGTATCATAATTTAATGCTGCCCCAGGGATTATCTACCGCAAATTTATGGACATTAGAGAATGAATGTGAATTAAAATACCCTTAAAATAGTAAAAGGAATCTTTAGGCTCATGAGTAATTTCTTTGATGATGTTTACTTAATTGTTATTTTACTTTACCTGTTCAAGGTATGATGAGCCATCTATCTTTAGAACAATTTAATTTTAGTCTATTTGCATATGTGGAAGATAACTAGAGAAAACAAAACTGCTAGCTGATAATTAGGAGTATACTATTTTACCTGATGTGAAATAAAAAATTAAATTGATTGCATAATCACTTGGAATTTTCCATACATAGGTGAAGCATTAAATTCCAAATATTGAAATGCATATAATGTGATGGTAAACTGGCTTTAGAAAGCCCTGATCTGTAGTGTTTGCCCTTTTTATGGTATAAGTATGCCCATAAGATGATTTTAAGATTCTAGTGGTTTAACAACTGGCTCAAAAAAAAACCTTGAAAATTTATTTATTTTTCCCCCCTTGGATATCTTTTTGTAAATCACTGTATCCGTGATACATATAATTACATTCATCTTAGGTAATTGGTACATGTACATATCACATCTTAATCTTTTTTACTAATCAGCGCTCATATACAGCTGAATGCTTGATTCTGTGGCTTAAGTACTTAGTCCCATTGATGATAAATGCAGTAGATTAATTGCATTAATGGCTGCAATTCTTCACGCCTCATATCTACATCCTATGTCCTATAACCTTTTACTGTTCTCCCAGTGAGTACCTGGACCCAGCCAAATGACTTGCTTTAACAGGTGGGATTTAGATGGTATGGCAGAAACAAAGATGAAAAAGGATCCTTTATATTTTTAATTTTTCTCTTAAACTTCTGCCATTCCTATGAAAACATATCCCCAAAGCAGAGCCAAATGGCCTGTCATTAAAATTAATACCATCTTGAATCAGTAGACAGCCAATCAATCCCAAGATGCTGGCTAGGATTTACCTGACCTACTGCTGAGTTCAGACGTATGAGCAAGACCAGCTAAAGTCAGCCAAGTGTAGCCCAGGTAGGGTAAGCTACACAGCAGTGTGAGGTAAACACATTTTTAAAATTACTATTTATTGAAATTTGAATCAGTGATCTACCTCTTAAAAGTAGCTAGCCCTGAATATTTACTTAACTGCTCTGTGCCCAAGTTTTTTCAGGCTTGACCTTGTACGTGCATGCATGCGTGTGTTTACCCAGTAATGTAGAACAACACAGACCTAGAATCAGACATACTGGAGGAGATTCTAAGATGTACTATTTTAATATTTGAAATCAGTTAGAACTATATATTTTGTACTTACAGCACACATTGTAAGAGCTGTCTACAACAGAACCCTTGGCAACACACATTAGAAATTTATTACATGGTAAGTATTATGTAATAAAACTGTTTTCTTAGGAAAAACAAATGTATTCTAGTGAAAGTAGCTATATTATGTTTTTAATCTTAGCAGAGATCTGGAAGGGGAGCAGAGTGGCCAGGCAAAGTAAAAGCAAGGTTTTTAGGTCAGTATTTAACACCCAGAAAGCAGGCCTATCAGATCGTTATTCTAACAGCCTTCAAGAAGAACCTTAGTTTCACCTTAAAACCCATTTAGTATATGAATTTGAGGTATCTGTGTGCATTGCTACTGGGACATGACATTTTTACCTTCTTATCCAACACATTCATGCAAGTTAGTTGCTCTGCTAGGGGACAAGCGAGAAATTGAGGACTGTTGGTGAACACCTGACTTATGTGTCAGGATAAAGCCTTTTTAGATAACGTGAAAAAATAATCAGAAAGCAAATGAGAAAGAAAAATCTTCAAGGAGATAAAAGGCAATCAAAACCAGTGTCAAGAGGCTCAAAAGGAATAGACTCTGCCACAAAATAGGAAGAATAGAAATCTGGCAGAGTTAATTGTGAATCTGTGTATTCTGTGGATGAGCCAATAACATGAGAGCCTATGTGAAATAACAGGTGTTTACAATCAAGTTAATTCTTGGAGGAAGATGTATCCCACCTATAAATAGTTACTTAATATCGGGCCTGAGAAATTTAATGGTCTTATTTTTAACATTATGGCCTACAAAATCATCCAAACATTTTTTTGTATTACTGGGAAACTCCAGTCAGCTCAGTTTAGCTCACAGAAGCCAGATGCTACATTTTCAGGAGCTTTGGAATCTGCTTGCTAAACATAGCCATTACTAAAAATTGAATTATATAATGTAGAAAATACATGTAAACTGCAAAACAATGCTTAAGTTTAAAATTGTTTTACTGTTAACTATGTTCTTGAGGTTATTTACATCTATTTTATCCACAGGCAGAAAATAATAAATAAGAGAGTGCTGTGTTACCTCTTCCTAATTCTGTGTTCAGTGGCATCAACTTGTGAGCTTGAAATTTACCACAGTGGCAGATCTGTTCCCTAATGCATCTAACCAGCGGTCCCCTGCCCTGTAGCCAGCTGTCCCGCCTTCATCAGCTCAAGCCAACTGCCAATCCTGTACCTGAGCGCGGTTACTTACACTGCCATTCCTAGGACTTCAGACATATATTAAAGCATGACTCCCCCATAAATGGTGTTATTAGAGACTCACATTGCTTTCTAAGGCTTCTCAAGGAACTCAGACAATTAAATCGGGCATTTAATTTTCTATCAAGTTCAGAGAGATACCGTTAGTTTAGAAAAAATTAATCATCAAAGTTCCATTTTTAAAACTGCCTTACACTTTTGCTATTCCTGCACTTAGAAATTTCAGTTTTTCAGCTCTTTAATTTATAAAAATCATTTGTGATTACTAAGCTCATTTCTTCTCAACTGATCTACTTTCTGGTTCATCTATACTTCAACCTCTCTGTGTAAGAGGTCACTCTGAGAAAAGGATAGCTGGAATAAAAAGTCCCTCTGAAAACTGATGTCTAAACTTAGCAAGAGAGAGAGCTTATTAAGGGAGGAAAGAAGGGAGTCACATGGGTGGGTGAGAGAACAGACTCTGATATCATATTGCCAAATTCCAAATTGTAGCTGTGCCCATCACTACTGTGTGACTTTGAACTCGTTACTTAACCTCTCTGTGTCTTAGTTTCCATCCCTATAGCGTGAGGATATTAATTGGGTACATATGTGCTTGTTGTATAACATTTGAGTTAATACATAAAACATGCAGAAAATTCCCCACTATAGAATAGATAATACATATTTGTAGTTATTATTTCTGTATATTAAATGATAAGGGTTTTCTTCTCCAAAACAAAAGACAGGTACTCCAGTCAAGAATATCTAAAGTAGCTCATATACTAACTGCATTGTAAAATTTTGAACTTTGAGGCAGGAGCGTTCCAAAGTACTGTTTCTCAATTTGTAATCATGTACACATTGTGTGAGTTGTTATAGCTGACAAATGAGCACACATAATAAAACAGGATATGTATTCAGTCTGTGTGCATGTACGGCAGCCACATCATTTGTGCAGTGACCTACTTGCATCCTTAATAGAGCTAAGTGACATCCTGTGTGAGCAGGTGGCCACTTGGCTGTAAGTAGACAGAGCCCTTGGGATGACCCACTTGGAATCAGAGTTCAACAAGGGGCATTCGACTTGTCCTTGTGTGCAGTACTAATATTTTAAAATATGGTTAAAAAACTGTGACCCTTTATTTAAGAGTTACAGGTATTGGAGAATTAACTGTATATGATCCCAGTGGAGGTGGCCCTATTTTTTAAAACATCCCTCTATCACCCAGTGACTCTGAAGTAATTATGAGTGAGAATAATTTCATTTGAAGTTTTAGATGTAATGAAAGTTTAAAAAGACTGTATAAAGCAAAGTCCAATTTGGTGGCATTTTATGAAACACTAATGACATTTACCATGTAATGTTTACTTTTTTTCAGGCTAAGAAACTTCCTGGCTGCACCTACGGTCTATTTTTATTCTTCTCTTATTTAGAAATTATAATTATTTTTTTCTTTTATTGAGTTTATTTATTTGTCCATTTTAGGTATACAGTACAGTTACATTCATTATTGAGATCTTGTACCTTTACATGGCAGGTGGTCTTGGTTCTCATTTTTTCCCCTTGTCCCTGCCCTCCCTTCACCCCTTGTAATTATTAATACATCTGGAGTGTTTATAGCTTTCAAACTGGCATGTTCTTAACTCTCAAACATTGTTACTCAAATCACATTATTATCATTGACCAAGTTTAGTTAAAAAAAAAACTAGATCACTTCATTATCATTACTGATTTATCATGATAATTAAAGATTATTCTGATACTGATTTGTGTGCTAATGCTAATAAGTACAATTACCTTAGGTAAGCCATGAATAAGAAAAAATGCAAGCATTTATTTGGGCGCTGGACCTTTAAGTATAAACAATATGACTCACACGTGGATGACTTATGTGACTTAGTTATACAGTTTATATAAAGTCTTTTTCAATGCACTAGGCACTTGACAGAATTAGAGTTAAGAAAATTATTTACTTTTATCTGTCATGGGAAAGTGTGAGTCAATGCATATGATATCAGAGTTTGCTGATTTTCTAGGAACACATATTCTCTGAATAGGCATAATCCTGTCTTTGCTTCTCCCCCACCTCTTTTAACCATCTTTGTGTTCTACACATCTTGATGTTTTACACAGGAAAATGGGGCCTATGGAGAAATCATAAAATTTATGCACTGAAAGATTAACTGAAGGCAGCTGTCATATTCAGACAGAAATGGACCCACACATATTTGGGTAACTGGTTTTAGACAATGATTTAAAAATAATTAGTAGAGAAAGGGTTATTTTGTCAATAAATAAAATCAGAAACTTTGAAATGTATATATAGAGCAAAAAAGGAACATCACTCCATATTTCACACTATATAAAATTGAATAAAAATAAATAAACTTAAATATAAAATCTAAAACTATAAACTTTCTAGAGGAAAACATAAGGGAAAATTTTTGTAATTCCATGTCAGTCAAGATTTCTTCATCATCACAATCCACCACAGTCCATAAAAACTAAGCTTCATAAAAATTAAAAATGTATTTTGAAAAGGTATAGTTAGACCAATAGAAATAAAAGCCATAGACTAGGAGCAAATATTTAAAATGCATATACCCAATAGACAACTTGTATAAAATATAATAAATAACTCTAAAAATATAATAGTAAAGAAGCAAACAATTCCATATATATAT